AGCAGTTTTTAAGTTCAACCTCTGGGAATTCAAAGGATTCTCCATGCCTTGAGGGACCAAATGCCATAGAGAATCAGGGTGAGAATCTACCTGAATTAGACTTAAATAGCATCAGAGACATAGTCTAGTTCAAATGAAATGTTAGAACAATTTTAACATTTATGATCAGAAATAAAATTGACAGATTTTATTTCTTGTCAATTGTCAAAATTTGTCAAATTGTCAAAATTTCTAGTGCAAATGGATCCTAAATTTGTAGGGAAGTAAAGTGGATCAAGTGCATTTCTTTTAAATAGTTAATTCCCTGTGAGTTTGTTTCAAGGTAGAGAAATTTTAGATGTGACTAAAGTGCATTGCAAATAATTACCAAGTATTTAAATAATATTATAATTTTTTAGTAAGAAACAGCTTAAGAGTACTCTCCATAAAGCCATCAAGCATATTGTCTTTTGCCTCAAAGAAGTAGGGTAGCTCAAATGCCAGTTCCTTAAAGGGCCAAGGATCAGGTCAATTCCTGATTGCCAATTCAATTAGAAAGTCTACTTGAGACTCAATTGAAGTAGGTTAGGTTACAATAGGTTTCTGTCTATTGATTGCCAATGCCAGAGCAATTCAAACCAAAATAGTTAAAAGGTAAGTGAAAAGAAGCGGGGATTATTAGGAAGTTGTACTGCTGTTGCTGTTGTTGTTGTTGTTTTTCCCAAAGCAAATATAGATGTCTGCATCACAAACTTTCAGGAATGTCTGCAGACATAAGATAGAAGTGAGACATAGGTTGGAAAATGATTTCCACCCTCTACCATGTTCTTAGACAAGTGTCATTCTACATGGAAGTCATTTGAAAATCAGTTCTAAAAGGCAGAGCAGCTGAGGTTGGGAGATACAGGAACATATCTTGTCCAACTGACTTAGCAGTCGCCATTCTTCTAGAGTTCACTTTTCTGTAATCTTCGCTACTGAAAGTCACACAGCCCACACTGGGAAGGGGACAGGGGTGGGACATTTCATTCTCTGAGGCTGGGAGACAAATGAGTAAGCAAAACCATTTTTGAGAGATATTTGTAAACTGCAAAGAGAAGTGTCATGCTCTGTTATAAATTTTTACTTACATTGTTAAAGGGAGAGGGAAAATCTGGACTCAATATTTAATAAAAATATTCAATAAGATCTCCTGCTATATGCATGTTTCTACTCAGATACACTTGTTTTTGGTAAGGAAAACTGATTTCATTAATCAAGATTTTATAAACAACTTCTGAGCACTAAATTTTGCCTTTTACTCCACTCTGCACAGGCATGTTTTATGACAATATTATTTAATTGAAGACTTAATATTTTTTTTCCTCCTTGATCTTGAAAGAGTATTATGGTTCAGATTCTCAGGGTCTTCTCTTGTTAGTTTTATTACCCTTGGTAATTTGAGTGTTTTTGATTCTAATTTCTTCCCACACCCCACGGATACTAAAGTATTTATGTTTTACAGTTTTTGGTAATTGCAATAGACTTAAGTTCTTTATGTGTTTCTACTAGATCTCTTAAGATAACCATGAATAAGTCTTTGAATTAATTAGAGATCTTGAGCATGATTCAAGATTGAAACAAATGAAGGAAATATTTAAGAAGAATCAATGTATTATTATAGATGTTGTGGAAAACAGGCGAGCCTGCTTGTCTTTCATTTCCTGAACTTGAACTCTGTCCCTTTTTCATTAACTAAATCAAAGGCTCTCTGGGGCATCATTGCAGTTTACAGTAAAGAGGGTGTGGCTGCCTCTTTAAAAAGACTCACCGGTACTTTGTGTCATCTATATCTCAACCACAAAGAGCACTTTGAACAAGGTTTTGACTTAACTTATAAAAGATACCCAAAACTCCAAGCTATAATAGGGTGCTTTATTTTATTACATAAATTCTTCCACATTTTCTTCCTAAGAATGCTCATTATGTTCTGTAAAATGAATTGGGGTCATGAGATACAGTCAATGTTGAACCAAGACTCAGAAGCCCCGGGATTGAGTCACTGTACCCCTCAAAGGGACTGCATAACTTTGGCCAAGGCACCTTGTCTCTCAGGGCCTCCCTGAGCCCATGTGAGAAAGTGTGGGTAGACATGATGTCATCAGATTTCTCTCAAAGCAGAAACACTGAGGTTCTCTAATTATCCCTGCTGAATAGTTATGTAGTAGAAGTTCCTCTCTGCTTCCCAAATACTATTTTCTTCTCTTTGGTTGAAGAATCTAAAGATTTGGGTATGATTGCATAAGTTTTACTATTACTTAAGGCAGAACAGTTATTAGTTCTAAGAGCCTGTATTTTATCCAGTTGACAAGATCATTAAAAACAGTCATGTAGCTTTTATCAGATAAGAAGTTTTGTGCACATATAGTGATCATTTGTGCTATGTAGGCGATGTAAACACTTCAATTAAATATTCTGATTCTTGGAAAGTAAAGCAGGTATGTGGCTAAACATGTAGTATTACCTCACTTTAAGTTAATAGACAGCAAAATTTCAAAATATATTTAGAACTGACCTAGTCACTGACTACGCCAATTTAGTCCTTATCAATTTAGTTCTACCTAAAATAATGTGATTCTGATATATGAAACAAAAAAATTGTTTTTATTTATATTATTGTCAGCAAATTTCTATAATGATAGACTGATAGGAAAAAACACCTTATCTGAGTTGTGTTTTTACTTGTACTAAACAAAATGTCCTAGATTGTATTAAATAATTGTTTTTAGTATGGCTTGCTATAGAAAGTACTGGTTTCCTGATATCACCAAAGGTTATAAGGAAGCAAATCTCATCTCTAGTATTTTTCTGTTGTACAGTGACTAAAGTATAACCACATAGATTTTAAATCAAGTTGACAATTTTTTTTTTTTGGTTCAAATTTCTGCAGAGCTCTTGGTACACTAAAACAAACTTTATACCAAAGAAATATCTAGTAGTATTACCACAGTATGACCTATAACTAATGCAGTCTTTTCAATAATATCTGCCTATAGAATTATAAGATCAAAATTCTCTCAAAAATAACTCATGGCTCTTGAGACTCTATGAAGACATTTCATAGAGTCTTTTTTTAAAGGTATATCTCTGTTTTAGGGAATTTCCCAAGCCTAAGTACACAGTCTTATAACTCCTGTTTTGTCCTTGAGTATCCAAGGAGGAGTTCTTTATAGAGCAATGAAACTGTTGTTTGATGTTTCTTTCCCATTCCCAAGTGGGATCACAGTTGGAATTCCTCATTTACAGACAGCATCTCTGATGACAGGGTTTGTGAAAGGAATGACTGCAGTGAAACCTTCAGGTATTACCTGTATGAGAAATGTTTGCCCTTCCTTTCTACACAGAAAATTACACGGCTTACAAACTAAAATGCCACTACTTGATACACCTGCAATTATAAACAAAAGTGGTATAATTAGACTTGAACTTGGCATCTCTACCGTGTTCCTATGAGGATGGCAATTGCTTTACTCAATTATTTTTATAAGGATTATTCAGGAGGGAACTGCTTATTAATAAGTTGGTCCTAGGTGTGTAAAGGACTTCGAAAACTGACTTCAAAAAAGGTAAGTTAGAGACAAAAAAAATAGCTTTGTGTAGAAGCTACTACTTTAAATACACTCAGTATGTAAGTAAATAATGCATATTCTTAATACTACAATAATGACATATAATGACTTAGATTATACAGATCTCCTATAAAATCATCATAGTCTCTCTACAAAGTATTGAAAAAGAAAACTAGGCCCAGAAAAACTTCAGCAGTTTACCAAAGATTAGATAGACATAGATGAGGGCCTTCCCTGGTGGCGCAGCGGTTGAGTGCTGGGCTGCGAAGCTGCCTGCAGCCTCTGAGCACTGGTTTGATCCCCGGCCACCAGCGAGGGTCCCATGTGGAGCTCAGACCTCTCCTGCCACTCCCGCTGCTCCCCTTAGCAGTGTATTTCGTCAGTCTGCCTGTTCTGTTCCTTGCTCTGGCTCTGGTGAATCCTCTCACCCTCCCGCACTTCTGATTGTACCCAGTGCTTGTATAAATGAATAAATAAATCTTTAAAAAAAAATAGACATAGATGACTTCATATCATGTTATCCTTAGATGGTACATGTCAGAACAGATGAGAACTCATCTTGCATACAAAGATATTATATGCCTATACATAATATTTTATTAATGAAAACTTTTGAATGAATCAATGGATTTAGTTTCCAATCTGTCTTTCTTAGCAAGTCACTTCACCTGATATTTATGCTAATATGCTAATAGGCCACTTTAATGTGGCTAATGAGCTTCAAAGTGAGCTTGAGGGTTAAAAATGGAGATAGAAAAAGAGACCAAAAATATTTAGTATATCAATCCATTCTCATTTCATGACCTTACACTAGCAAAACGTTTTAGAGTTAACAAAGTCATTTCACTCTCATATCAAAAACCCTGCAAGAAAAATACAAATACCTTCATTTTACAAATAAAGTAATTTTCAGGGCATAGACAATTCATAAGTGCACCATAAGTGAACCCAATCTGAACCAAATACTCATGTCCAAAACTCTATCCACTGTTTCAGAATCAAGTCCTTGTCCCTTTGGGCCAATGTTAAATCCTATTTATGCTTCTACATTGTCTATAAAATTCTAATCTCTTTTCCCATTTATCTGCTTTCTTCCCCCATTTTACAAACATGTGAGCCCTTTCTCTACTTAGTCTTCATTTTATTCCAGAGATTTACACACGCAAAGAAAAAAGAAGCGCAAACTCTGTCATGAACAACATGCAGAGACTGTAACACATTCAGGATGGAGCACACATCTCCCTGGGGTAGTTTTGCTTCCTCACCTGCAGGTGTCTCTAACCTTTACTAGTTCCCCTTTACTAGTTCCCTTTCACTCGTTCCTCACCATTACAGCAACTTGTTCAGCCATCTCCATTCTGTATGGTGTCTTTTAACCAGGCTCTCAGACCAAACCACATCCTAAGATGAGACATGACCTTCATAGGCTCTAAAAAGGTAACTTTTATAGGCAAAGAATTTTTACAATTATCAGGAGCCTGTAACTACTTCACAGCTTGAGGTTTGTGCAGTTATGCTTCTGGGTGGAATTTAGGAAGATGATGTCATTTCATGTTTCTTCCAAAACACCCAATCATAGGTGATTCTTGAAAAATGAAGCGCCTCTTGATAGACTCATTTTTTCATGAGGGCTGAGGATAAAACCTGTCAAGTTCCTACAGGGAAACTGGCACATAAATAGAGGGGATTTTTGGAGGGCTTGGCTATTGATTCATCAGTAGAACCACCTGCGCCAAAAGCAGAACTACTAACAATGTACCAAAGAGGCTTCCATGAGGCACAGTATAAATTCTGCTAGATAAGAATCTAAGGATCTAGCATTGAAACTGATATCTAGAAAAATGTCAGACAAGAAAAAGAATGAAAAGGAAATATTTACAAGGATTCTTAAGGCTACCTTCAATTGTAACCATTCTTTAATAAAGTTGGGTTCTGTAGTGAAAAAAAAAGCAAGGCAAAATAAATGCAAAACACTCCCTTCAAGACTCATACTCAGTCTTTCTGCCTCAAGTTTAAAGTATTTATGTCTAGACTACATTGCATTCTATGATATTAAACCCTAATTTAAGGTTATATATTCACTTAAGATATAAGTTATTTAACTTGGAAATATACATTTATTTTAAGAAACTTGATACCAACTTAATTGCTACTATAACAATTAATCTGCAATTAAGTCACAGCTGTCCCTGAAATACAGGCTTCCCCCACTTTTTGAAAGTAAGTCTATTTGATATGATTTGATAGGTTATTTGTGGGGTCTGGTAATGCTCAAAAATTTTCATATATAAATTAATGTTAGATTATTTAAAGCCCCTGTTTAGGGCTACACCTGAGGGGAGAAATCCATTACTTAGAAAAGTGAACAATAATATAAGAAAATAACAAATGTAAATAAAAATTAATTAATGTTAGAAATTTTGCTAAAAATCACCTATCAAATCATGCAAAATAGGAACTTTTGTATAGTGGGGGAAACCTGTAAGGGAATCCTTTCCTAGATCCTCAGAGTGTATACACACACATACATATTCACACACACATAAATACATATATACGCACACATACATCATTCCTCTAATTCCATCTAGACATGAGCATGCACCTGAACCTGAGGTATCAAGCTGTTCTCCTCCCCCAATTCCTGCTTTTAAAAAAATTATACCTCTCAGCTATGGAAAATATCGTAATGTTGCACTGCAATGGGTTGTAAAAACATCTGGGACAATAAAGCAAAGAATAATTCAAATATCAGCATTAGTATTGAGAAAGAGAATTTACTCTAAAGCTGGTAATGAATCCTTTTGAAAGTCATGTGGCCTTCAAATACTTCTTTTCAATAGAATTAAGAGAATCTAATAGAGTTGCCTCTAGTAGGTCATTAAAATGTCATTTTTCAAAGACAAATTACTCTACAGGTTTAGAGGATATGATTGAGAATAAGTTTAATGACTGCTACATTAGAAAATCCTTCAATATCATCTATTTATATAAATAAGTTTTCTCCCTTATAACTGAAAGACAAAACCAGACAAATTAGAATCAATGCTAAAATTTGTTTAATTCTAGTAGTAATATTCATTCATGAAGTAATTTAAAAATATTTCATCCATCTCTTCACAATGAACTTGATAAGATTTTACTTTCTGTAAATAATAACACTTTATCAAAATTTCCATATTTGCATGCTGTGTAATCAACTGTGCTATTAAAATAGCATAGTTGTAAAATTAATTCAATCTATAAGAAATTGATTTTTAGATGCTTCCAATTACAGAAACAAAATAAAGTCTATATTCATACACATATTTTGTTACAGAGAAGTACGATAGAGTGCTTAACAAAATACTTAAACATATTTAAAATCTGTTTAAAAGTTAAAAATATATTCCAGTAGGATGAATCTTTGGAGTATAGAGGTCACTGACTGGGAATGTGATATCCAATTATTAAAGTGTTCATTCATCTATTTTTTAATGAATGGGAATGGTCATGAAATGACTACAATATTTAGATTCTGTCGACTATTTATTTAAAAAGAAATGTTAACAGTTTATCTTAAAATATCAACATTTATTGGAATCTGTCTGCAGAACAGAGACTAACCAGAGAGAGAGGATATGGGAACCAAAGAGAGAGCCCAGTGGACTATGATGCAGGAATATGGGTGCTTTGGTAGTGGGTGTGATATGGTAAGATACATCTGAGGAGTTATGAACCTACACCCGTGAACCATACACAGTGTTGTAAGTCAATATTACCTCAATAAATATATATAATACATTTAAAAATTAATGAAACAAAATATCAGCCTTTGCAGTAGTCTTAAATTCTATCCTTTGCATCTATTTAAACTTATAATGAAATTTTTTTTAATGTCACTATAAAAAAAGTTTGAAGGAGCATATCATTTTTAAAAAAATGTAGAGCTACACAAGAAAAATCTTTTGAAGACTGGTGCAAAACAACATTAGAATTAGTCAACACAAACATCAATATTTTTCCTGAGACAAGGGCTGTAATTTTACAATAACAAAGTTTAAGTAAAGCCAGAGAGAGTTGGTAGTAAAATATCAGGTGATAGAAGGGAAGTTTAAGATGTTGTGTAAATGAACATTTAAAAGAGCAACCGAGGTATTTTAAAATATTAAGAATTTATTTGAGCAAAGCTCTATTCCAGCTGGGTTGCTCAACCAGATGTGGCTCAAATGCTCTGCAGAAGTAAATAGAAAACACGTTTTTACCACTCTTACTTTTTTTTATTGACATAATATTGGTTGACACTGTGATTATATTTTGGAAGTATAGGATCCCCCTTTCAAGTGTAGTCACCCTAGCTCACCCACCACCAAAGGACCCATAGACCGTCACCACAGTGTATTGTGCTCCCTTCCCATTTATTCTCACCCCTTCCCCTCCCCCCATGCCTCAGTTCTATATCAGCTTTCAAGGGTTAGTTTTTAAATTTGTCTTCATCTGAACCTTTGTTTGGTTTCTCTATATTCTACATCTAAGTGAAACTATTTGGTTTTTGGTTTTTTCTTTCTGACTTAGTTCACTTAGCCTAACCCCTTCCAGCTCCATTCATATTGTCACAAATGGCAAGTGTCCATTTTGGAAAAACTTCTGTGAGGTGGAAACAAGTAAGGAAATTGTTGATGGCTATAACTTAAAGCCTAGTTGACGATTTGTGATTGGCGCTTCTTTGCTTTTAATTTCATGACTTTCAGGTATTTATAGGCTTAGATTTTGATTTGCAAACACAGGTGCCAGGGCATCAGCATCCACTCAGTATAGTGGCACCGTTGTTTAATTAATTTAACAAGGATAACTAGTAAAATGGTGAATTGGATCTATTCCGGAATATACATACATACAATATTAACCTTGCAGACTTTTTTGTAAGCAGACAGAAACCAGGGAAGGATACAGAGAGAATTACCTGCCATATCTCTAATTGAATTATAAGTAGCTAGGCCTCCCTCTCACCACTTTACAGTTAAAAGTAGGTTATTGTGTTTATTAGAGCTCTGAGGAAAAACAGTAAAATGAGGCTACTGGAATTCTGTGTTAGGCCTCTAATTTTGGAAGGGATTGAGTAATAGGTGGAAGAGAATATATAGAGGAGAAAGAAAAAGACAGAAGTGAAGAAGAGGAGGAAAAAGGAGAGACATGTAAGAAGCTGAAGACAAGGAAGAGAGCTTCTTATTAACAATGGGTTCATGTGCCAAGTTTACCAATATTTCTGCATCCACCAAGGCAGCACTTCCACAGGAAGACAGTGCCAGAGACTACATGTCAGAGTTTGGCACATAGCACTAAACAACAAAATAAATCAGCTCAGTTAACCTGCTTGTCCCACTGACCTGAATAGAAGACATCTATTAAAGTAATACACAAGGTAACCATAAAAATGCATGATGTCTATAGTAAATTGACATGGGATTTTACCATGATAATCATTGTGTGCAAAAAGCAAATTACCAAATGGTACATATAATTTTCTATTTGGTTAAAAAAAAACTACAATTTATATATGCTTTGGGGGGGAGTCTAAAAGAATGTCTCCAGAGTAGTGGGAATTTGTGTGATTTTTGCTTTTTCTTCTATCATCCAGAATCATTTACTTTTCTGACAAAAAGAATATCTAACTCCCAAGAGGAAACATTTATTATGAAATAAAACATGATATACAGACAAATAAGACCATATTTTAAATACTGTACTTATTTTCTGGATCTAGATACTTTAGTAATGTCTAATAATTACATGTGAGGAAGAAAGTGTACTAAGAGGAAACATTTGAATCTGCCAAACTTCTGATCTGTATTTTTCCCCTTTTGGATAGAGTTCTCATTCCAGATCTTCACCCATCCCTCACCCCTCTTCCATCCAAATCCCTCCTCTCCTGTGAGACCATTTCTATACTTCCATTTAGGCTCTTTGTAACTCCGTTGCGTGAGTATCCTAATTTGCTTTGCCGTAGAGTTTGTATATTTCTCTTCTCTAAAGGTTTAAAAGCATTGGAGGCTGAAAAGTCAATAGTCCTCATTTTCTAATATGCATGTTTATTCCATATTATCGACAAAATGTATATTTAAGAAATAAATTTATATAAGAGAAAAATCGTCAATGTTTTTATGACACTGCTTTCTTTAAATTATGCAAATTTGTGCTAATGCTCTGCCTTTTGTAACAGGTGGTGCTGGAAGTAAACAGTGAATTCATTGTTGAGGTAATGTATTTTCTTAACTTAAAGTTGAAAGAAAAACTAAATTTTTAATGTATCACATACCAAAATTCACAACATTTGGAATCAAAATCATTCAGATAAAATTTATACAAAATGGGGGGCCTTCCTGGTAGCGCAGGCAGTTGAGCGCAGCACTGTGAGGCTCTCCACAGCCTCTGCAGTGCAGGTTCGATCCCGGCCAGCCAGGGAGATACCCACATGATGAAGCAGACCTCTCCTGTCTCACCTGCTGCTCCCCTCAGCAGTGTATTTCAGTCATTCTGCCTGTTCTGTTCCCCACTCTGTCTCTGGTGAATCCTCTCACCTTCCCACATATATGGCCTGTACCCAGTTCTTGTATGCATAAATAAATAAATCTTCAAAAAAAGGTCACACACATGGACACCTTTTGACATGAAATAGCAATGTAAAAACACACAATCCCAAATCTCCATGCTTTTAGGCATAGTTTGTGATAGCTCAGTGTCGTCACTCCTACTTATCAAACTGTGTTTGTCACCCCTACTTATCAAACTATGTTAGTAACTTTATGTTTCCCAATGTAAAGCAAAGCAAAAGGAGCACTGTAACCCATCAGAACAAAAGAGGAACTTCAGACAGTTACATCAGTAAGAAAGATAACTGATAGTCAGTCAATGAGATCAAAACTAAAACAAACAAGAGAGAATTTGGTGCCATTTAGAAAAGGACTCAGGAAATATAATCCTACAGTCCTCTCTGGCAGAGCTTTATCTTATTGGGTAGTTAAGTTTTCATTATGATGACCTTAAAAAATCTTTGGAAAAAAATTACTTTTCTAATCTCCATTAACAAAATAAGGAATATATGGTACATTTTAAGAATTTGTGTCAAATGGAGAAAAATGTGAATGTTTTGGTTTTTGAAAGGATGAACTTCATTCTAATGGAACATTCTCCTTCCCAAATGGTAACTAAACAAAGCCTTAATGTAAACAAGCATACATCATCTGGGTCTCAATAAGTACATTACAAACAATAAGTACATTACACACATACAATACGTGTGTATATACATGTATACAAATGTTTATGCATGCAGTTAAATTTCCAAACTCTTTAATAGTATAAAGCTCTTAAATATTTTTCAACAGTAGCAACATAAGACTACAAAGAGAAAAACATATAGTAGCAAGCAGAGATACAAATGAGTAACTCTGAGAACCACGTAAGTGTCCATGGCATTATTGCTGATACCATCAGTTCAGTTAAAATATTCTTCTAATCCTGCAATAATACATTTAGATGCCTTAGCCACTGTGCTACCTTCGACAGAAGAGAAAAAAAAACCCTTCCTCTTTTAGGTGAGTACACACACCACTACAACTTGCCTTTTCTATGGGATGCACTCACATGGAACAACAACAATCTTTTAAACTAAAGAGACCAAAATGTCCACTCAGAGCTCAGTGAAGTGTGAGGTGGGCAAAGTCTCAATCTGGTAAGGACAGATTGAGAAAAAGCAAAACTACAACATATCATCCAATATAACACATTATTAGCCCACACATGGCTAATTAGATTTGTTTCACTAAAATCATACAGGTTTAAAGAGATGATTGAAAAAAGTAACTAGCAGGGCAATCAAGTTACATCTATCTATAGTTATGAATTAGCAAGAATTTACTTTGTTTCTGAAATTCAATGCCATTGAATCTTCTGGGTACACCTCCCATGGTGAATAAATGCTCTTATTAAGTAAAATTGCCCTAACACAGTACAACATGTGAACTGTTTTTGCTTAAGGTGAAAGAATTAGACATTGCAAATGGCACTATGAAATGGCAAACTGTCAGAAGACAAAAGCGGGAGTGGATCAAGTTCGCTGCAGCCTGTCGAGAAGGAGAGGACAACTCCAAGAGGAATCCGATTGCCAGAGTGAGTGATGAAATGAGCAGGAGTATCCTGTGCTGATAACTAATGTTATTGCAGGGCAGAAAGCCCGCAAACATCTTGAGGATTTGCAGCCTTGTATTGAAAGCAGCCCCCCATGATGACTTAGAAAAATGGTTGACACAATCATTTGCTCATGTCACTAAGGGACTGTTTTGACTATCACTTGCTGGGACCTGATACAGAGTAGAGGGTTCTCAATGATCTTAGGGGAGAGACTGGGATCCCCACCACAACTGGGATTTGTTTCTCTGTGATCTGCTAATCCATGTTGTATTTCCAACTGTCTTTATTTAATTGTGGACATTTGGGTCACAAATCTTAGTATTTTACTGAGTGTTGTCATCTTTAGTGTACAGGTGAAATTTCAAATTTTAACTATCTTTGTTTAAATTAATGAGCAATAGATATAAAACTATTAAAACAAAATCTATATGACTGGATATTTACCACAAAACCTACTTGGCAAACAGTGATATGTTTGATATATAAAATTATTGCCAATATCTCTAAATGGTGTATTTCTCTCCTGACTTAATTTATCTACCATTTGATTAAATCATCAAACTCACATTTAGGTCAGTACATATTAATATAAAACACTACACTCATTTTTAAACAGTGGTAAGATTCTGATTTCACAATCCTACTTATTTTTCTCATAGATTCGATCAGACTGTGAAGCGAACCAGAAGATTACATACCGCATCTCAGGGGCAGGGATAGATCGGCCGCCTTACGGAGTGTTCACCATTAATCCTCGGACGGGGGAGATTAACATCACTTCAGTGGTGGACAGAGAGATAACTCCACTTTTCTTGGTAAGTCACATCACTGTATTTTGATTTATGCATATTCTTTTTCTTCCCTCATCATTCTTCCCAAAAAAATCATCTCAGGACTTGTGATAAAACACAGCAGACTGAGACCAAATAAAAGACTTGCAGTAGTAAAGCATATGAAAATATAAATTTATAGCTCGGAATTCTCTGTCGTGTTGCATATATATGCATGTGATCAAAATATTGATTGTATTTAAATTGCTAGATACTAATATGGTACAAGTCACCGGGAAAATTGTTCCTTTGCACATTTCCTGATATACATTCAAGCATGTTACTTTATTTCCTTTGGTAGAGAATAATAATTTTTCTCGACTTTCCACAGATTTATTGCCGGGCTCTGAATTCGCGGGGTGAAGATTTAGAAAGGCCTCTTGAGCTTAGAGTCAAAGTTATGGACATAAATGATAACCCTCCAGTTTTTACACAGAATGTGTACACAGCCAGCATTGAGGAAAACAGCGATGCAAGTAAGTAGAATGACATTCCTCCGCATTATTCATCCGTTTGTCTTAGTCAGTAGACTTTGGAGACTGACACACAATTTAAAGATCAGAAAATGCCAAACTTGCATTTTGAATAAACCCCACAAATATTAACTTAAAACTAAGATAGAAAAAATTTTCCTAAAATGCAAAAACTACCCACCTTGTTAGTGGAGGATTCTTAAATGTGTGATTTAGCCCCTTCCTTGAAGATTGTAACTGAGCTCATGATTAATTTATTCCAAATGAAAAAATTTTAGAAGAAATTGTGAGTGTGAAAAAGGGCTCTGTTCTGGTCTGTACCTCAAATTTTTTACCGAACCCCACCATAGAGTGAAGTATTCATTAGATCAGTCACAGAGAGTCATCACTGGCCTTCACAATTATGTTACAGTGTCTCAGTTCTTTATTTTTCCCATAATGTTTAATTTCATTTCCAAGTCTAACACTCTACTCTCTTCCCCTCTTTCCATCACTTCTGAATTTCTTTGTACATTTATGCTTTTTCTATATTGCTACCTATCTCTGTTCCCTCCCTCTTTGCCTTCTGCCTCTTTCTTCCCCAATCCTCTTATACTCCTTTTCCTCTCAAATTTGTCTGCCCTTATACTTTTAAATAAAATTTTGGGGGGGAAAGAATGAAAAAAGAAATGTCAGAAGAAGGACAAGGTAAGAAAGCAAAATATAGGTACTGAATGCAGAGTCAAAAAAAGAAGGAATGAGATAGTAGAGGAGAGCAGAGATAACAAAGGCAGAGATGAATTCGGGGTTTCAGGAAAAATCATTCAGATCCCCTAAAAATGATGTTGAAAATAAGAATTATAATTTTTTGTCCACATATAATGGAGGACATAGAGAGGCAAAAGTGAGGGTTTTGCCTCAGAGAAACAAAACAGCTTCCAAAGTCTGTCATTGTTTCTTCGGTGATATACTTCAGGATACCCTAGGAAAAAGAAGGTGAAACCCACATCCAAGTTCACATCCATATTCATTTGGTTGCTGATTAGCAGCTAATTACTGCACCCTCATGTGAGAAGAGTTAATCACAGGGTCAAGGTACCCTTTGACATACTATCAACTCCATGAAACCTGGCTCATTCTCTTTAAGGAGTCCCTGACTCTGTGCTAGGATTTTTCACTTTGAAGACTGGCTGGCAAACACAGAAAGATCAGAGCAACTCTGGAAAGTCAGTCTTATGGGCTGATATCTTTGAGGATCAGCCTGGGATGGCTATTCTTTCTTGCCATGAATAATTAAGAATTACTTATACACCTGTGGACAAATCTTTTCAATAATTGCATATTTTTGACTGTTTGGTAAAGTTTTGTTATCTTCCAATGCAACCAATAGTAATTTTCAGCCTTCCAGATGAGTGATAATTAAGAATATAGGTCTTCAATAAATAATTGCAACATTAAATTTAATTAAGCTATAATCTTTTTAATTAAGCTTTTAAAAATAATATCACAGGGCTACAGCCAAAACAACTTGATAAAATTAGTTTCATTAGCTTTATGCTAACATCTATTGACCTTCATTTTCATATTTTAAAGATTACTATATTTTGTTACTAATTGATCAATATGAAAGGAATGCAAGTAATTTATAAACTATGAAGGACTTCATAGGAGCAAACCATCGTTATTTTTGTAATCAGAGGTGTGGTTGTAAGTTAGCTAAGATTTTTCATGAAAATCTAGAACAGAGAGAATTCAAAAGGAAGCCAACCACTCTTTCATCGTATGCTTGATAATTTGCTGAACTGATTCTAAAAGAGTCCCAAATATTCTCCACCTTCATCTCCATTTCTAGACACATTGGTTGTAAAGTTAAGTGCCACAGATGCAGATGAAGATAATCATCTGAATTCTAAAATCGCCTACAAGATCATCTCTCAAGAGCCAACAGGTGCACCAATGTTCATCCTGAACAGGTACACTGGAGAAGTCCGCACGATGTCCAGTTTCCTTGACAGAGAGGTAAAACCTTCTATGAATAAATCATCAGAACTAAAGATTTTAAATATGAGAATTGAAGGTGAAATGAACCCTATTTGTCCTTCCTCCCATGTAAAAATGGGAAGAAAAAATAATCTTATGATTTTCAGATGAAAATTTTATAAAAGAAAAATTATATTAAAAGACCATACAATTGGGCCTCCCCTGGTGGCGCAGCGGTTGAGCACTGGACTGTGAAGCTGCCCACAGCCTCTGCAGCACCAGTTCGATCCCCAGCCACCAGCAAGGGTCCCACATGGTGCGCAGACCTCTCCTGCCGCGCCCGCTGCTCCCCTCAGCAGTGTACTTCAGTCCTTCTGCCTGTTCTGCTCCCTGCTCTGGCTCTGGTGAATTCTCTCACCCTCCAGTGCTTCTGATTATACCCAGTGCTTGTATAAATAAATAAATAAATAAATAAATAAATAAATAAATAAATCTTAAAAAAAAAGACCATACAATTATAAAAAGAAAGCACAATAACATCAACATGTATTAGTTTTTACTCAAAACAATTCTTAAGTTTACAATTATTTTTCATCTTAAATTAGGAACACAGTATGTATAACCTCCTTGTGAGAGGCTCAGATCGGGATGGAGCTACAGATGGACTATCTGCCGAATGCGACTGTAGAATCAAGGTTTTAGATGTCAATGATAATTTTCCCACCTTAGAAAAAACTTCAGTAAGTTGGTACTTTTATAATTCTTTCTCCATGAGTGTTGATAATCAATTTGTTTTCCTGCTAGTTTGTGAAACTGGTTCTATTCCATGTATGGACATACACAGCTTTGCTGTAGAAACCTTGGTGTTTCTTATGTATAAAATATACCTTAATAGATCATGTGATCTTTGAGTCATTATTCTGCACAAATCTCCTTTGTGAAAGCAGAAACCTGCCTGTTCCATGTTTTTTACTTGCAGAAAGTTGGAAATATATTACCATTGCACTAAAAAACATGTAACGATATAGATGCATCCTTATATGCCTGACTTGTTAACTCCATTAGAGTCCAAAGTATTCTCAACTTATATTATCATGTATAGGCATTAAAAAACTAAAACTAAAAATAGCAGGCACAAATTGGCTTGCCACTTGTTTTGGGGGTAAAAAAGCATCCTGTTGGACCACAGCCTCACTTCTGCCTTTACGTGATGTCTATGGTTTCTATGCTAGGCCAGCAGAGAAAAGTAGTCGCCACTTCAATTCTCTCCCCCACAACTACTAATAAATGTATTTCTTTCTGGCCCTTTACTATAAAAGAAGGAAGTAAATCAAGGAAAATCAAAAATAAGCAAGAAAATAAAGTATCAGTTTGGCTTTGACTTCACATACAGCATATGACAATTGATACTATCATAATCATTTTATTCTTATATTTCTGATTGGACAGTGGCATTTAATAATGGCACAAAATTGCTGGCATAGCTTATTGTTGCTGTAAATGATGATTCTGTATTATCTCACCATAAATATTTTTTCTCCTTCAAAAATTCATTGATTACACGGTGGGCTATGTTATTTCAGTACTCAGCAAGTATTGAAGAGAATTGTTTAAGTTCAGAACTGATACGATTGCAAGCAATTGATCTTGATGAAGAAGGCACCGATAATTGGTTGGCAAATTATTTAATACTCTCTGGAAATGACGGCAATTGGTTCGAAATCCAGACAGACCCACGAACAAATGAAGGAATTTTGAAAGTTGTCAAGGTATAGTATGGGATTTCAGTATTCTTCCAAAGTTTTAAATTAATAGAGACTCTGCCTCAAAAATTATACTCCACAGCTTTGAAATTGTTTATGTGGACAAGCACCTTAAGTTAGTTTAATGTGTCTGTCTGAGAATTCCAGTCCAGCAACACAACATGTATGACCAAGAGAAATAAGAAGATTGTTTTGTTCTCACAGTGCTTAATTTGAGGCAAGTACCCTCAAATTAGATAATAATATAAGAATTATAAATCACAATAGTAGTTTAGGGCCTCAAACTAATAGTAGTTTAGGGCCTCCCTGGTGGTGCAGGTAGTTGAGCACCGCATTGCAGAAGCTGTCCACAGCTTCTGCAGCGTGGATTCGATCCCAGTCTGCCAGCGAGAATCCCACATGGTGCAGCAGACTTCTGTCTCGCCTGCTGCTCCCTTCAGCAGTGTATTTTGTCAGTCTGCCTGTTCTGTTCCCCACTCTGTCTCTGGTGAATCTTCTCACCCTCCCTCGCATCTGGCCTGTACACCAGTTCTTGTATAAATAAATAAATCTTAAAAAACATAGTAGTTTAGGTGTTATGATATTAAACAAGCAGTTGCCAAATAGATAGGATGGAGATAATTACTGAGAAGAAGTTAGCTACTTTTAGCTAGATTTGTCCAAAAAGGTTTCATGCAGAGAATAGTGTTCAATGTCTTATAACTACAATTGTTAATGTGATAATGAAATGAGTAAACACATAACAATGAGAAAATGTAAAGCATGTTCAAGGCATGGTGAGCACTTTGTGGGACAACAGCAGAGTATTCACAGAGGAAAGGAAGGAGATATAAGAACTGAGATACTGAGCTGGGGTTAGTGCTGAGAACCTTGAATAAAGACTACAGCACTTGACATTTTTGTACAGATTAATTTTACTTAAACTATGCTTTATGGGCAATAATAAAATCTAAGAATAAAGATTAGAAACAAAACTACAAATCAGTGGAATTCAAATTCACAATACAATAAGGGAAACTAATATTCTCAGAAACATTACTAACAAAACTAAGGACTTATACCTCTAAAAATATATTTTGATATAAATATATACACAGTACATATAGCACACAATGTGAATGGTGATTAATCAACTGTTACTACCTTTCTCTATTCCAGTCACTGTGAAACTTTTCCAGACAGTACATTAGGGAGTCATTTTGCCTTCATCTAATACAAACATGTATTTCCCCATCAAATTTGCATTTATTTGATGGCTGTTTACAAAAATACATGATTGGAAATATAATTTCAGACCTCAAAATTGCACATACTTCAATCTATCAAAGTTCCAATGCCAATATACTATAACCTTTTACCCCCTTTATACCCTCCTTCCTTCCCTACCTCCCCTTTGGTAATCACCATAGTTTTCAGAGTCTGAGTTATTTATTTGTGTTTTGTCCATTTGTTTTCTTTTGTGGTTTATTTTCTACAAATGAGAGAAAACATCCAGTAATTGTCTTGCACTTTCTGACTTCACTTGTCATAATCACCACAAGACCCAAAGAATAAAAATTAGAACCAAAACTACAAATCAATAAGAAACAAATTCACATTAATATAATAAGGGGAAATAATTTTCCTTTATTGCCCCAAAAGACTATTTTGACATTTTTAATAGCTGAGTAGCATTCAGTTGAATGTGTGTGTGTGTTTGTGCGTGTGTGTGTATCACAATTTCTTTATCCAGTCCTCTGTCCATGAACATTTAGGTTGATTCTATGTCTTAGCTATTGTGAACAATACTGCCATGAACACAAGCGTGCATAATCTTTTCATATAGTGTTTTCACACTTTTTGGATAAATACTTAGGTGTGCTATTGCTGAATATTTGACCATTTCTTGAGTCCCCACCATAGTGAATCTGCCCCTTTGCATTGAGATTTCTAACCTCCCCCTTGCATACTTAATATACTTAATATGAAAACATGAACCAGAATCTCCCAAGAATTAACAGTGTCATACTAAACTACGCCCAAAAAAAGCTGCATGTGAGAATCTTGCAACTTAAATTCCTATATTAAAATTTATTGAATAAAAATACTCACCAGTAGCCAAATCTCACTTTAAACTCCTACTGAATCACTTTTCAACCTTTTGGCTAAAATCAAGTGTAGTAAACTCCTACAGGTCACTCCCCTCCCACCAACTTCCTAACACACACTTGCATATTCTTTTTAAGAATAGTCTTTGATTATTTCTCAATCATGCCTTAAACTTCAGAGACTGAGTTTTTTCAGTTCTTCATTCTAAATCCAAGTGGAGGCTCAGGGTTAAGCAGTTGTTTTTATCATTCTTTGCACAACTCTAATCTCTGGGCACAATCAGAAAACCCTTGATAAACACTTGCAAAAAATGGTCTTGCCTTATCTTCCCTATAAGTTGGAAGATTGGATTTCAACTGATTTCCTTCCCTACATGCAGTGACTTTCTAGAATTGATGCATTTTGATGTGTATTAGTATATTTTCATACATTCTAATCAATAAGAAAACTCTTCTGGCTAACAAAAGCACACAAATTATGTAAACGTAAGAAAATGTCAAGAGATTTCTCTGTCAAATCAAAGGAGCTCAGATTTTTCATTTATTTAAGGATAGCATGGACTTTTAAAGAATAAAAAGTGGATTGTAGAAGAGGATTCTCTTCCAAGTAAAAATTCATTTTGAGGACAAAATTCATATTCATCTCTGTGCTTGACATTATGTGGACCAGGAAGGGAAACAGCAATTGAAATCCCAAATGTCAAGGGTTTTGGATGAAATTTAGTGAGGCATGTTGAACCAACCCCAAACAAGAGTTCAAGTGAGTTCCTATGAATATTTTTGTCCTATCAGTATATGTGGAAAATTTAAATAAAATCTAACAAAACATTTGTAATATAGAATTTTTCTAAGAAGCAGACTTGCTGCTCAAGTTCTTGCTGATGACACTGACATCCTCTGTTGTCAATAAATGTGCTGCAAATGGGATATTTGCTTGCAGAACTCTTCTCAACAGACATTGCTCCCTTTCTTACAAACTCCTTTTCACTTGTGACTTTTCATGTCACCACATCAATCACTCTGGATCAAAAGATTCTATTCATCTTTTATCCAGGGAACCCATTTCAAAGGTGACTTTTCTCGGGTGTGATATTTACTTATTTAAATGTGCCTTGTGAAGGTGTCTTCTTGTTCACCAGACTCGGAGCAATTACAGTTTAGAGATGACTCTAACAATCATGAATTCTTCTTTAGAAGTCGTGCACACCTTTCTAAAAATTACATGTTCAATTACATCACCTATATTGGCTGCTTTATTCTGCTGATTACACTTTCAAGACATTCTCAGATGTCAATTCCACAAAGGAAGTCAAAGTCTTATTTATTCATTCAATGGTTGTGAACTTTTTAAGTTTCATTCTGTTTCATTTTCATTTTTCATAAACACCTCATTGGAAAAGAAAAATCATTTTTATATCAGGGTTTTTATATAATTTCAAAACTCCAAAATTTGAGTCCAATTTAAAGTCACAGATTGAAGTGACTTATCTGCTTGATCGCACAAAGGTAAAGGGAATAACATACCTGAAATACCTAAAACAGTAATAAAATTTTATCAATTCTAAATAGGAATTTCATAGCTCTAGATATTATTCTAGCTTATTATTTGCTTATTGTGGCTTCTTAATCAAAAGAGAGTCTTTCGCTGTTTCAGAGCTTCTTCTATCATTTCAGATGCTGGACTATGAGCAAATGCCTAATATTCATCTTAGTATTGGAGTTAAAAACCAAGCTGAATTTCACCACTCTGTTGCCTCTCAATTTCGAATGCACTCAACCCCTGTAAGAATTCAGGTTGTTAATGTGAGAGAAGGCCCCTCATTTCGTCCAAATTCTATGACTTTCAGTGTGCGAGACGGAGGAGTAAGAGGAGATTCTTTATTGAATTATGTACTTGGCACATATACAGCTGTAGATTTGGACACAGGAAATCCTGCAACAAATGTCAGGTACTGTAAATACTTTGCTCATGTTGGAGTGATAGAGCACAGTTCTATTCAGTGTTCATCCGTGTGGTGTGTGCTACTGTATGTGGGGGATTTTGTTTTTCTTTTTTCTTTTAGAAGATTATTGAGGAATTGACATTTCCTCTGAATTCTAATAGTATTTTAGAAGCTGTAAGGGCTCCTGCTGGCTGCAAGGGCTCCAACCTGTTAAGTGTTGTATTCAGAGAGTAATTATAAGATCAAAGAGACTCCTACGGTTACTCTGTGAATCTCTTTGATCTTTTGTGGCCAGTTGTACCAACCTGGACCAAGATGAGTAAGCAATTTTGTAAACAATAAGTTACTAATTTTTTCCCTAAAACTTTTGTTACCTTGATTTTGGGGCCAATTTCAACCCTCTGTTTAATCTAAGAGAGGGGAAAAGTAATAAACAAAGTAGGTGTTTCAGAAATTTGATGAGCATAAAAAGAGTCAGAATTGGAGAAAAAGAAAGATAGGTATGTGTTAACACATTGTAGCTCTTATATGTCTTAAAATTGCTCACTTTGATATAAGCATAATGATGAACTCCTTTATTTGAAAACAGGTATATCATAGGACATGATGCAGGTAGCTGGTTAAAAGTGGATTCGAGGACTGCTGAGATACAATTTTCTAGGGAATTTGATAAGAAGTCAAAATACATTACAAATGGGAAATACACAGCAGAGATCTTGGCTATAGATGGTAAGAGATTTATTTTCAGTTTTATGAAATTATTAGTACATTAAATATAAATATTATTTAATGTTGATATTGATTGACTCAAATAAAATACATCATTTTTTTGGTGCCAGCCAGACTTACTGAGAGTTCTAAATACCTCAGATCAAGAACTGAATTCATTATTCGCTTACAACCAAAATTTATATTTAGGTCATCATTATGGTCTTATCTTTCAAGATGTTTAACTCAATTTATAGAGTATATTGGGAATTTTTATTTAAACTAAGTGCTACAAGGGGTGCATACAGGTCATTTTGGGGTGATCTGAGCAGACATAGTGTCCCAAGGAATATAGATTTTGAGCCACTAAAACCGAGCAACAATGAGAGGCCTGTGTGAGTGTTACTCATTTGTGATGTTGTCTGAAATAAGATATTAAGGATACAAGAAAATACAAGGTTATTCCAACTTTGAGACATAAAGTAAAAAGCACAGATGCACTGATTTAACTTGTAATCGGCTGCTTCTCATGGGAGGAAAAAAATCTATTAAGCATTTCTCTTAGAGAGTAGCAATAGGAGTTTGTTTTTTTATCGATAGTTAATTATTCTCTGGAGGAATTCATAGGAAACCAGCTACTACAGGATCAAGCAATACAAAAAGGCCAGTAACCAGAAAAGAAGAAAATAGATGTCCTAGATACATACCTAGTAGAAGATAGGCAATATGGGTTTGCATTAGTTTATGTATGAGTTTTACAGTAGGCAAAAAATATATATAGAGAAAGATAAATGGGCAGCATAAGATTATAAAAAAATTCGTAATAACATCCAAGCACAGTCAATGTAATTTTCTCTTTATCCTATGAGTGTCACTTTTAACATCTTGATCATTTCCATAAAGGATAGAGTCTTATTTGTCATGAATATTTTGAAAGTTCTGCTCCTGAAAAGAATTCTAGCCATGATGACCACAGTCTATATATTGGTGATATGTGAAAATGTTCCAAAACTAGAGTAAAATTATTTGTTTCAAGTAAATAAAGAGGAAAAAAAGGCATTATCAAAATGTACCAACAGAAAACTAAACACAAGGTCCATATCTGTCTGGTCACCTAAGCCAACTGTCTGCACTGGCACAGAGCCATCCAGATGGTTCTGATAAGTTTGATACCTGGCAACCAGGTGAAGAGGTGGAGCTCTGTGGTTGACAAATGCCATAGTAGAGCAAACATTGTCAGCAACAGCTTCAACTTTGAGCTACTATATCACAAGGACACATGAAAGTTCCAGAGTATGACACAGAAAGCAAATCTTTGAGTTAATCTGATGTCTGTCGAATGAGAATTAAAGTCTAGGAAGTCCACTGCTGAATAGGGTACAGAACCACATAAGATACAGAGATAGGCTCGTTTATTATCAATTTACTAAATTACAACATAAGAAGTCTTAAAAAGAAGTTTATTAATCTCTCAAAAAAGTGACCTTGTAAAATACCCTAGAGATGACAGCATTCTTTTTTAAATAGGGAAGCCAAAAATCTTTACAAGTAAAGCAAAATAAATTTTTTATTAACAGCAATGGAACATAAAGTAAAAGAAAAGTAGACTGAGTCCACTCCCATTTCTTGGTCCTCTGTGCTGTCTAATAAACTATAATCCAAAATTTGTTTCAGTGCATGGGAGGGGCTAGATTTGTATTTATTTTAATAAAACAAATATATTTTAAAGCTTATTTTAAAATGTATATTTATATTTTCAGAAGTGCCATTTCAGAGAGAAATGGCATCTAATGGATAGGATGAAAATAAACAGTAAATACAGAAAGAAAATCTGCACAATTATTTACTTTCAAATGTGGTGGTTTTGTTTGTTTGCTTGGTTTTTTGTTTGTTTGTTTGTTTGTTTTTTCACAAGGATTCGCCAGTATCCTATGAATGTAAGCTCTATGCTGGCCTAGAATCTTATTTGTGGGAACAAGAAGGAAATAAAAAGCACTCTCGAAGGAACACTCGAGAGTGAACACTCTCGAAGGAAGGACATTTCATGTTGCACATTAACTTGTGTAGAAGTTAGCAGGATGAGAAATATTTTAGGAAGAGTGAAAAGAATGTGCAAGAGTTCTGAGTTAGGAAGAGATTTGTCCAAAGAACTGGGAGGAGCCAGAGTGAAAGGTAGCAACCACTGGCAAAAGTGGCTGCAGGCTCTTGAAATAGATGGGAACCTCTCATGCACCATCCCAGGAGTCATTCATCCTGTTTCTGTCTGCTGCAGGATATGAGAATGAATTTTCAACCTGCACTATATTTCTCAAAACCCATGATGCTTTTCTGTTTCAGATGGTTCTGGGAAAACAGCTACGGGAACCATATGTATTGAAGTTCCTGATGCCGACGATTACTGTCCAGTTATTTTTGCTGAAAGTAGTACTATCTGCATTGACTCTCCATCCACCCTGATCTCTGTTAGTGATCACTCTTTTGGGGCTCCCTTTACCTTCTGTGTTGTCGATAAACCAGCAGGGACTGCTGACTTATGGGATATCAGATCAATAAATAGTAAGTGGAACGCAAAGTTTCTCATACTTTCAGACCAAAAGCAAAAACAATTGCTAGGTAATTAATGAGGGCATGTAATAATACTTTATATCATCAATTTTGTGATACACTTAAGTTGTTGGAAAATTGTGATGTTTTCAGTTTTTAGTCATGTTTTTATTTATTTACTTATTTAACAATACTTGTCTCCAGAGCACCCCTAGTCCTTTACCATGCACCCATTAGGCCATCTCTCCCCTTTGTTTTCACCCCTACCTACCCTCTCAAGTAGCCTCAACTCTGCAGTCGTATTTCTAGAGTTTGTTTTGGTTTAGTTTTGTCAGTTTCTTTGTTTTGTTTCTCTATATTCCATAGATGAGTGAAACCATCCAGTATTTGTCTTTTTCTTTCTGAGTTATTCATTTATTCACTTAGGATGATGCTCCCCTTTTTTAAACATCTGAGTAGCATTGCACAGTGTATATATACCACATTTATCTTAATCTTTTCATCTGCCATTGGGTACTTGGGTTCTTTCCATAACATGGCTATTATAAATAGTGAACATAGGAGTGCACATATGCCTTCAAATTAGTGGTTTTGTATTGTTTCGGTAGATACTTGGAATACAATTGCTAGGATATATGTTAAATCTATTTAAGTATTTGGAGGAACCTCCATACAGCCTTCCACAGGGACTAGCCTGTATTCCCATCAGGAGTCCTTTTCTCCACATATGCCACAAAATTTGTTTCTAGTTTACTTTTTTAATAGGGGCCATTTTCATAGCACTGAGGTAGTTTCTCATTGTAGTTGTAATTTGACTTTCCTTGGTGATAAGTGATGTTGAACATTTTTTTCATGTGCCTGCTGGCCATCTGTTATATTCTTTGGAGATGTGTCTAATTTATCTCTTCAGCCCATTTTTTTATTGGATCATATGTTTACTTTTTTCTTGAGTTGTATGAGTTCTTTGTATATTTTGGATATTAGCCTCTTGTCAGATGTATGATGTGCAAATATTTTCTCCCTTTTGATAGGATGTCTTTTCACTTTAATGATAGTTTCACTGTGCAGAAGTGAAAGGAGCCCATTGTTCTTACATCCTCTGTGTGTGTGTGTGTCTGTCTGTCTGTCTGTCTGCCTGCCTGCCTGTCTCTCTCTCTCTCTCTCTCGCAATGCGATACCCATTATTCTTAAGTTGACTTTCTTCATGGCATTCAGTAGTTCTCTATTTGCTTCTTCATTTTCTTTTTTTTGTTTGTTTGTTTGTTTTTTGTTTGTTTGCTTGTTTGTTTGTTTGTGGGACCCTCGCCAGCAGCCAGGGAACAAACCAGCGCTGCAGAGGCTGTGGGCAGCCTCGCAGCCCAGTGCTCAATCGCTGCGCCACCAGGGGAGGCCTGCTTCTTCATTTTCTTTATGTCTCATTTCTCTCTTGTCCTTTTACCTGGGTCCTAGGGGTATTACTATCTTGAGTGTCGCCAATTTGATCTTCTATTTGAACTGTTGTATTTCCATAGCTTCCTCTAGAGGTGTTGATCTCATTTATTGAGCTATTTACCTCCTGAATTTCTGTGTTTTTTTAAAGCTTTACTTTCAAGCCTCTGTTCATTGATTTTATTTCTTATTTCAAAGCTCACTAATTTGAAATACAAGAACAACTTGTATTTGACCTGTTGTCCTGAGTTCTATTATCCTACATTGACTTGGTTTCTGAGTTTTATTTTAAGTTCATTTGTTATTACAGTAGTTGTGAACTCTCTATTTGGTACGGAAATATAACTTTTCCTCTTTTTGAGTTCACTCTTCCAATGAATTTCCATGTGTTAACTAAAAATTACTGTTAAATTAAAATTTTTTAAATGTTTTATCTACATTGTGATTATAAATAGTTGTACATAAATATCAGTTTACAAATCACTTTATATAGGTGGGGTACTGAACAAATATATGATCAATTTGAAATAACAATTAATTTATCAGATGTTATAACTCTCTATTCTGTATTAATTCAGGCTAGTCACTTAATGTTTCTGAGATTTGGTTAATCCATAGATACATTTACACATTTTCCTCTCACTTAGGAGCACATAGGACCAATGAAGTCACTGTTATACAGAGCTCTGTGTGGGCTTTCCTGGTGGCCTAGGGGTTAAGTATCAGCACTATCATCACTATGGGCCTAAGTTCAATCCCGGACCAGGGAGCCAACCCACATATGGTACAGCAGACCGCTCCTTTCTTGCCCGCTGCTCTCTTTAGCAGTGTATTTCAGTAGATCTGCTTATCCTGATCCCTATTCTGTCTCTAGTGAATCTCTGCACCCCCGTACCTCTAGCCTACACCCCAGCTCTTCCATGCAAAAATAAATATATATAATAAAATTAAGAACTATGTGTATAAACATATTTGTAAATGTAAAAATCCAAATTTCCCAATATTAGAAAATGATTAGTAAAATTGTGGTATATATCATTTAAATGTAGCATTTTACAGCATTAAAATTAGAATTGTGAAGTATTTAGATAAAAAATATTGCATAAACCCACATACATAAAGTGAAAAACAGATCTCAAAGTAGTATATGTATTTATGTTAACAGTTGCAATGTGATAATGAATTCTAACATTCATTTAAAAACTGAGACTATATTTCAATTTGTTTCTGTCCTACTCTTGCCCTCCTTTCCAGCTACCTCTTCGATCCTGACAGCTGAGCAGCTTTTAGTTCCTGCAGTTTACCAAATTCCAATACTAGTGAAGGACAGCCTTAACAGAGCATGTGAATTGCCACAGATCCTGCAGATAGAAGCCTGTGATTGTAACAACAACCACATGTGCTTGTACTCTAGTACCACAAACATCTACAACTCAGTGACCAATGACATATATGTCACTGATGACCGAGTTGGGGGTTCCAATGTTGGCCTCGGACCGACAGGGATTGGCATGATCATTCTTGGTCTCTTACTGCTACTTTGTAAGTACTAGATTATGTCCATCTTTTCAGTCATTCTTCAGAATAAGAATTTAATCAGGCCCAATGGGATAATTAGGTTCATTTTATCATTTATTTTTTGCTATCAACCCCAATTTTTATGGAAATTAGGGAAAGCACAATGGGACCAATAAGGATGTGTATATCTTCAATAATGATAACTAATAAGACCTGGGGTTAGTGAGAGTCATAAAGGTAGGAAATATATGCAAATCCCTAAGTGTAATGCAGCAAAGTTTTAAAGTAAATCTATAATGAAAATTTTAGCAAAGTGCTTTAAGAGTAAAGAAATAGGCGTAATTAAACCAAAGGAGAGATTGGGAAGTCTTTATGAGAGAAGTGCCTTGAATCAGGCCCCAAAACTGAGACTTTTCTTAGAAGGAGGATGTTTTGTTTTGTTTTGTTCATGGGAAGGAGTATTTTAAAGGCAGATTTGGACAAGGGACTAGCACACACAGGAAAGGGATGGAAGGACAGAGCACACTCAGGAAGTGGAAAGGGTAAAAGGTAAGCAAGAAGCCATCACACAAGAACATTCAGGATGGGCTGTACATTCTGGGCTTCCATCCACAGGCAATGAGGAGTCAATGAGGACACATGAGCTCAGGTGGTGCCTGTTCTGGTGTAGTAGGAAGCAGGGGGAAGAGTCTAAATTCTCTAGGCTCTATATGAGTTTCTGAACCAAGACTATGGTCATCGGAACAGCAAGGTCCCTAAGCAAACATTTCAAAGAGGATCCTCCTCTTCCAATGCCATTTTTTAAAACATGTATAGCTTCAGAGGAGAAGGGCATCATGCATCAGTAAGGAAGCCTGATTACATAATCTTAAAATCCTTCTATTTCAACACTGAGGGTCTGTGGGATTTGGTGGGTGGTTATATTTATAAACATATGTATACTCAATCCTTTGGGAAAATTGATGATTTTATATTTGTATTTATCCCTTTGATTCTAAATATTGGCTCATATCCCCCTCCCCCCAAAAATGATATATTCAGTGACTTCCTAAATTAAGCAGTATGTGTTAACACTTTTCACTTTCTTGGGCAGTGGCACCACTGTTGCTGCTCATTTGCTGTTGCAAACGAAGACGGCCAGATGGTCTGGGGACAAGGTTTGCTCCTGTGCCGGAGGGAGGAGAAGGAGTGATGCAGCCTTGGGGAATCGAAGGAGCCCAACCCGAGGACAGGGTAAGTGGGCTGCCCATTTCAAGAGAAACTTGGGGTTTCAATGGAATGGAGCATGACTTGACAATTACACACAACAAAAAATTAAAATCTGTCAATTTTCAAATGTTTAACATAAAGTGTTTACTTTAAAAATCTTTTTTTTCTTTCTTTTCAGGATGTGTCAAATATGTGTGTACCAATGACAGCCTCTAATACCCACGAACGTATAGATTCCTCTGGTCAGTGGACACCAAAATCTGTTTTTCTTTTTAAATTACTCAACCAGATAAATCTCTACAGCAAACTCTAGAACAAGAATGCGTGGGTTTGACTCCCAGCTCCACCACTTACTAATAAGTGCTTGGGCAAGACACTGAACCTTTCTGGGCCTCCATTTTCTGATCTTGAAATTCAGTTTATCATAGTACCTACCTCAAATTTTGCTGCAAGAAGTAAATGAATATGCACACACACACACAATTTGTTATGTGTCCATAATTATATCAAAAAACATACATTAAAATAGGGCAAAGTAAGTGCTGCTGTAGCCATTATTTGTAATACAAATTTGAAAGTTGTCCAAAAACAGAAAAGCAGCATGTACTTCTAATACATCAAAGAACTTTTCCTAAATTTATGCACACATTTGCCTCACTGTTCTTACACTCTCCGAATTTAGTAGTCCCATACACAATTAAGTATGCTGAAAAATACCCAGCTATTCAGCAACAATTGAACAAGAGAGATCACCCCATTCCAGAACACACCTCAGAATTTTCAGGAATAGTTCCTTATTCCCAAATGAGACCCTGGACACTCCTGTGAACACCAGTTCTCTATCCACTGCCAGGACGGATGAAGACTGAGTTTTTGTCTCTGCGAACACATGTTGGTCTTGCTATGGAAGGTTCCAGTGTGTGCAAGCCTGTCAGATGGCTGGGGGAACTTTGCATGCAGCAAAAGCTGGAACTAGGACGGGTGCAGCATCCTCCCTCCTCTTAGCTACTTTTACACTTTTAAGTCTAGGGGAGAAATTTGTATAAATATGAAGGCTGACTCCCTCTGTATGGCCTGATTCCCTCTGTATAGTTTACTTATTTGTCAAGAAGCATGGGGATTGTAGGCCCAGCACTACCTGCTCTGCTGTGTGGTATGCCCAGCAGACATTGACAGGCAATGTTTTATGTGGATAAACAATGCAGACAGCTCCAGCACTGTAACATGAACACCTTCTCCTTTCAGAAATCTACACTAACACCTACGCTGCCGGAGGAACAGTTGAAGGGGGTGTATCAGGAGTGGAACTCAACACAGGCATTGGGGCTGCCACTGGCCTGGTGGCTGCAGGAGCATCAGGAACCATGAGGAGGAGGAGCTCGACGCTAGGGATGCAGTGGGAATATGCAGACACAGGCCTGAATATGGCTTTCTTGGACAGTTATTTCTCTGAGGTAATTCTCCTGTACTCAGTGACATAAAATAGTATTGGGCCTCAATAATAATAATAATAATAATAATAATAATAGCAATGGCAGTGAGTTCTTCAGAAATAAATTCAGTTATTCTTAGCCCTATGCCAATCTTGAATAAAAAATTTCACTTCTTCAAATACAGAAAGCCAGTTTGCCAGAGTTTGCATATTCAGTTGACATAGCACATCGCTGCGCTGTGAAGAAGGCCAGCATCCATCATTGCCCACTTTTTCCCTGTTTCTGCTTCTGTTTCCTTCTGGTTAGCCCACACTTTATTTCCTCAGCAACAGTAAAACAGGAGGATCCTGATTAAGATAAAAATATATATTTGTGTCCTTCCTGCTTTGTAGATGTCTCCAATAGAAAAAAAAATTAATAAGCAGATTCAGGGAAGGAAGAGAATTACTAGTCAAGACAGAGTGTCACCATGACTCGGCCAAACATCAGGGCCTAGAATCTAGGTTTCCTGTTGTCTATCCAGTACCCCATCCACTAAGTGCCCCTTACAGTGGAAAGGGGTTATCGCTGCATGAACATTCCAAAGTAGAAAGCCCCAGAGGCATTAGGTTAATTTAACCCAGTAGCATAAAGTATAAATAATTGCTCTTAAGAGTTCCTATTTCGGGCCTCCCCTGGTGGCGCAGTGGTTGAGCACTGGGCTGCGAAGCTGCCCGCAGCCTCTGCAGTGCCGGCTCAATCCCCGCCCACCAGCGAGGGTCCCACATGGTGCGCAGACCTCTCCTGCCACCCACTGCTCCCCTCAGCAGTGTACTTCGGTCTTTCTGCCTGTTCTGTTCCCCGCTCTGGCTCTGGTGAATTCTCTTACCCTCCCGTGCTTCTGACGGTACCCAGTGCTTGTAGAAATAAATAAATAAATCTTAAAAAAAATTTTAAAAAAAAGTTCCTATTTAGTATGTTTAGTTCACTAACTGTCCCTTTTATCTCAGACTTCAATTAGCCTGTTTTATACCCCATATGAAAATACATGACCTACACCACTGCTCTTAACAAAAACTGCTAAGCACATTGTTGCAATTGTAAACTATATCCTAAAATTGGTGATTATAAATACCATTGCAGATTGCATAAATAGTATCAGTTATTTGAATTACTAATTAGTACTACTAAGTATAACAAACAAATGGGCACAAATTATATATGTCATAGAAATATGTCATAGAAATGATACTGAAAGACTTGCTTACAAAAACCACACTAATTAAAGGAGTTTTACCATTAATATCAAATTTTCACTTTTCCTCTGTTGCCTAATGGACAAACAGTATCAGAATGCTATCTCCTCTCTCAATGGGCACTGAGGTCCTTTCCCAAACATTTCAGCTCTACACTTAAAAAATGGCTCTAGATTTCAGAGATAGGGAGGCAAGAAGGGATCATACTCTTACTGAGGTGTCATTTAAAATATTGAACAGCAGAGCTTTAAGGTAATAACAAACTCATGAATAATTGGTTTCAAGACCTAAAATCATTCACTTCTAACAGCAGAAGTTTGATTCTGCACAGGCTTTAAGACAAGTAGCATGCTGTGGCATAAATGAGGTAGCATCCCCACAGTTTCAGGTCTTGGACATACCATTCACCTTCTTTGGCCCTTTGGTTCGCTTACTTATAAAATTTTTAAAAGGGTCAGATTATGTCAGGCCATTTCAGATGGGGTTCGGCAGGTCCTCTAGGATTCTGTGGAACCCATCACAGGCTATAGCAGAGAGAACTGGCACTCCCCTCCCTTCCCAAGGAGAAGTCTGACTCTTTTTCTGTCTCTTTTTTTTCTTTAACATGTTGGGTTCTCACTTAAGATTTCATTTAAAGGCCCTATCACTAAAAGTAATTTGAAAATCACAATAGGTAACCTCTTTTTTTTTTTTAGGTTTATTTTACTCACCTATGCATACAAGAGCTGGGGTGTGCAGGTCTGAGGTGCAGGGGATAGGTTGGGGGGTAAGAGGATTCACCAGAGGCAGAGTGGGGAGCAGAACAGGCAGATCTACTGAAATACACTGCTGAGGGGAGCAGCAGTCAAGGCAGGAGAGAGGTCTGCTGTGCCATGTGGATTAGCTCCCTGGCTAGGATCAAACCCGAGCTACGGCGGTTGCCAACAGCCTCACAGTGCTGAGACTCAACCCCTTAAGCCACCAGGGAGGCCCAAGGGTAACATCTTAATATTTTCTTCTTGTTAACCTGAATTCAGGCACATCCCAAGGGGGTGCAAGGGGTACATAAATATTCTGATATGTCCAAGAAACAGAGAAATAGTTGTATGTTTATACAGATTTTGTTTCAAAGTGATCAAGTTTGAATAAATAATTTATTCAAATAATTTATTATATAATAATGTATTCAATAAATAATTCATATTTTGAACATAACTAAATATATTTTGTTTCTGAACCACCTCAGACACAAAAGGCTAAAAATCCAAAAGATTAAAATATTGTCTTTGACTCAAAATCTGAATAAAATGTAAAAATTATTAATTAGCTTCAAATAAAAAAAATTTATATTTATTCAAAATGTATACACCATTAATACACCCTGATCTCCTTTAAAAATTCCAATTATTTAGAAATACAAAAAGAACCAGTGTTTGTCTCAGTTCATTCCATGAAATTGTCTTAGATGAGATATCGCTAAAGGATTATTGTTATTCTTCTTTGATTATTTTAAGGAAAAACAAACTCTTGATTTCCTATTTTACTTCTGATTCTAGAAAGCATATGCTTATGCAGATGAAGATGAAGGTCGGCCAGCAAATGACTGTCTGCTCATTTATGACCACGAGGGATCAGGGTCCCCTGTGGGCTCCATTGGTTGTTGCAGTTGGATTGTGGATGATTTAGATGAAAGCTACATGGAAACATTAGATCCAAAATTTAGGACTCTTGCTGAAATCTGCTTAGACACAGAAATTGAACCATTTCCTTCAAACCAGATCTGTATACCTATTAGTACTGACCTTCCTTTGCTTGGACCTAATTACTTTGTTAATGAATCTTCAGGAATGACTCTCTCAGAGGCTGAATTCCAGGCAGAAATGGCAGAAATGGCAATGTCTGAACCCATTATTCATGGGGACATTGTAGTGACTGAGACTTACACTACTGCTGATCAATGTGTACAGCCCACCACAATTGTTTTTGATCCTCAGCTCGCACCCAATGTTGTAGTAACTGAAACAGTAATGACACCTGTCTATGATGTTCAAGGAAATATTTGTATACCTGCTGAGTTAGCAGACACACACAATGTAATCTATACTGAGAGAGTAATGTCTAGTCCTGGTATGCCAGACATGAATAATAGTAACATGACTGAAGGTTGTATGGGACCTATGATGAGTGGCAGTATTTTGGTAGGGCCAGAAATTCAAGTGACACAAATGGTGAGTCCAGACATTCACATAAGCCAAACCACATCCCCAATGACATCTCGACATAGAGTAACACGGTATAGTAATGTACAATACTCTCAACAGTAAGTGTTTATGGTCAGTATTCTATATGGTGGTCTTGCACCTTGCAATCACCAACATGTCCATCAAAGATGTACAATATACTTAACTTCTCAACAGTCAACATATGTGCAAATATTCAAAGTTCAATGCAACTCCTTGGTTATATCTTCTGAGGGATAAATTTGGCCAAGCATTTTAGATAAACCTGTTGTGATCCTTTCTAATTTTAAAAAGTATGCCATAAAAACTTTGAGAAAATTGCTCCATCCTTTAGTGGTGTCTAATAAAAAGCATATAACTCAAAAGGCAAATCAAGGTCATGTAAACCAAGATGACCTTGTTCCTAGAGACTGCAAAACAAATCTTGTCTGCATTTACCTATAATTTTTATCTTTTAAAAAATATTTCCATGAAGAATTTCCAATTGAAAAAGTGAATTAAATGTACATTTCTAAGAGGAGATTTAAAAGGTGAATGAGCGATCATTAGAGATCTGAAGTCATTCATCTCTTCCAACAATTTCTCAAGATATGCAATATTTACTAAATGCGTAATATAATATACTTTATCAGCTAAACACATCACTAAATGTGATTCATCAAAAAGAATTATATGTATGTATATATGCATATATCATAAATCAACATGGATGAATTTTTATTGCACTTTATTGATTTATATCATCAATTGTATGTTAAAGCAGCTAAAAAATCATGACAACACTCCAGTAGAAACAGTTTTTTTTTGGAAATATTAGGATTTTTTGCCCCCTCACAGGGAATTTTCCCCCATGCTTGCTGATAATGCCAAAATAACACATGAAATATTGTTCTAAGTCATAAAAGTTTGATTTGTTTTCCAGACAGTCTAAAAATTATGTAATTATGTAATTATGCATATTTTCAAGTATAATTACAAGTATAATTACAAGTCTGTAATTATGCATATATTCAACAATATTTACTTAGAAACTAGTAGGTATTGAATGCTGTTCTTGGCTCTGTGGATATATAGGTAAGAAGAAAGACATGATTCCTGTCTTCAAAGATCTTCCAATTCATTTCTAGACTTAAAACTCTGGGGATATAGTTTTAAGATCCTACCAAAAATATTTAACAAAAAATTTTAGTCCATTACCATGTTGTAGTTCTCTTTTTGACCTGCTACTTATGTTGAGTGAATGAAATGGAAATACATGCATAGATTGCTTATTTTTAGTAGGTATAAAGGTTATTTGAGATTAAAAACTCTAGCAAGATAGTTTTATTTAATTATGTAAAATATGTAAATTAAGTAGTAGTAACTATAATGTGACTAGTAAGATAATGTAAATGAAATAAACATCAGGGCTTACTCTTTTTTGAAATGAAATAATTATAGTGCTTCTTGCTTAATTTTGTTCCTCTATAAATAAAACTATTATAGAATGTGGGACATCTCACATTATCTCTTGCTCATTCTCTCAGTTTACAAAAAAGGAATATAAAATGAGGAATGTTTAATGGCCACAACCAGTTAGTTGTGGTACAAAACCTTGAACCCTTTGCTCAAGTATTCTGGCCAGTATGCTTTTCAATACTGTAACTTAATCAGACATGGAAAGAAAATATCCAGTTTGACCAGTTACATGGTCTTTGCCATTTCTGAATTTCAAAAAAAAAAATTTCTCAAAAAGAAAATATTTTGTGAAATGTAAGTGCAGAATAGCTAAATCATCATAATGCCCCAAAATTACTTATATATTTTCTAATCTTTTCCAAATTACATGTATTACAAATTATTATTTCCATTCCTTACTTTAGTTTACTCACAACAAAGATTCTACTACATTTCATTACTCTGTAATCTGATGAAATCCATAGGGTAATCACAAATCATTCATGCCATGGTCTTTTTAACACTTATTCAAAAACTAGTCATGTCACGTCTTTAATACATTCATCCTGAGACATATCCTTACATGAATATTTCTCTCTTGCATTAATAATTCTAAGGATATTGAAACAACTAGCAAATGATTAAAGGTAAGGTGCTAATATATTAAAACTGAAAATACACAAGATTTGAGAAATTAATAAAATAGCACTAAGCATTTAATTGACAAATTAAATTTTAAAAGGAGGTGAAAACACTTGTGAGAAGGTTAAGAAAATTTTTCTATGAGCCTTCTCCTGTATTTCTGCATCAATGCTAAGATTTAAGGGTGTTTTCAGAAGAAGAAATCTACCTCTGCTGGACACCTTTACCCATACTATCTGTGGAAATGAGACCAGTCATTTCATCTACTCTGTCATGATTATCACTGAGGAGAAACTTCTGCCATTCCAAGAGGGTCAGTATTGCTCATATTTGACTAACATCTCTGAAATTGTTGTATTTTTAAGCATTATCTCCAACAAAATGAAAAGCGTAAAGTAATATTCCCCTTAACTCCTTAAGAATTAAATATTGATTTATCTAAGCAGTAAAGATGACATAGCATTTATGTTAAGGATTGAAAATGAATCCACAAGCCCAGAAAATCAGATTTAATAAATAAATCTAATAACATATGCTTTGAGTCATTTTTCCTACTATATGACATTGAGAGGGTTGTCTTATTTTTTAAAAAGTTCTTTAAAAATAAATAAAAATAAATAAGTCTCATCAGGCACAGGAAAAAGAAGATATCAAAAACACAAAGAGTAAGAATTTGTTTTAGAAAAAAATTATTTTCAAAGAAATTCCCTCTTTTGGATTAGATATTTCTGATTGCAATATATTGCTAAATGTAATAATGTTTTATATATTCAATAAAAATATGTAATATGGAAAGATATGTTTCATTTTCTCTTTTAAGCATGTAATATTCTATATACACACATTTCAGAAAAATCATATTCCATTGTGTTGCTAGATAATTGTCATCTTTATTTTCATGGTATAATATAGAAGCATGGATTTATTTGCAAATTGAAATTCATTATAATTGATTTATTAATGTTAAGACTTCTCAGTAGAATGCTCACTATAAACCAACAAGTCAATTGATTTAACTGCAGCAATTGCTCTAGGTATTGTATGAATTATATAATTATATGCTATCTCTTCCTGCTGGATTTAAATAATAAAATTACTACTTTCCCGAAGCAGACAATAAAAAAAGAATAATTTTAATTAGCAGAATTGAGGCCAGCTCCTCAAAAATGGTAAGAGCTGAACTTAGTCTAACTAGAATTTTGTTTTATGGAGTCCCAATGTGCAAAAACAAAAACACGGGATATTCAGAGAATATTAAATAGGTAAACTAAATATAATAAAAATATCTGAAAAAGGGCCTCCCCCGTGGCGCAGCGGTTGAGCGCTGGGTTGCGAAGATGCCCGCAGTCTCTGCAGCGCCGGTTCGATCCCCGGCTGCTCCCAGGCCACCAGAGGAGGGTCCCACATGGCGCGCAGACCTCTCCTGCCGCCCACTGCTCCCCTCAGCAGTGTACTTCGGTCCTTCTGCCTGCTCTGCTCCCCACTCTGGCTCTGGTGAATTCTCTCACCCTCCCACGCTTCTGACTGTACCCAGTGCTTGTATAAATAAATAAATAAATAAATTTTTTAAAAAAAGAAATTATTCTTAAAAAAAAAAAATATCTGAAATGAAGAAGTATTATGAAATTATTACATAGTTATCTTACATAATACTATATTAATTATTGAAAATACATCATCCTATTGATTGTCAAAAGAGCACTATGTGGTATGACACACTCCTGTCATAGATAAGACACCAGGTTAAGTTGCTATTTTTATGTGAGACCTTAAGTGAGTAGCAGATTTAAAATTCAAATCCAGGGCCTCCCTGGTGGTGCAGCGGGTTGAGCGCAGCACTGTGAAGCTGTCTGCAGCCTCTGCAGCACAGGTTCAATCCCCAGCCAGCCAGGAAGCTACACACATGGCGCGGCATACCTCTCCTGTCTCCCCCGCTGCTCCCCTCAGCAGTGTATTTCGTCAGTCTGCCTGTTCTGTTCCCCCTCTATCTCTGGTGAATCCTCTCACCCACCTGTGCATCTGGCCTGTACCTCAGTTCTTGTATAAAATAAATAAATAAATATTTTTTAAAAGACTCATTTTAATAAATAAATAAATAAATAAATAAATAAATTCAAATCCAAGACAGCATAACTCCAAAAACCTTACGTTGATTCAGCAATTTTTTTTTTCATTTAGTTCTGGAAGAATTTGCAAGAGGCAGACAGTAGAGGATCTTAAATCCTATTAAAGGTCTGAATCTACATTGGTAGAAAATGAGGAACCAGTGGAACTTTTGTGCTTGGGAATGACCAGGTCCCATTGCATGAGACCTGGGCTGAGCCCCAGGAGTGCCCTGAAAGTTGGCATGGTCTTGTCACCATGACACAGAGACCACTTTGTGATTGCATCACTAAGCCAGAGAGCCTGGGATATTCTGAAAAGTCAACATTCCAAAGTGAACTCTCTAGACCCAAAGTCTGGGATATTCCTCAGACCCCCTCGCCCCCCCCCCAGGTGAAAGGTCCATAGTGGGTAACCTAAAATAACATTTATCAGTCATTTTATGTGTTAATCAAAGTAATTGTTTTTATTGTATTCATTTTATTGAGGTAACATTCATATACAGGACTGTATATGATCCAGAGGTATAGGTCTACACCCCTTTGGATATATATTACTACACCACACCTACCACCAATTGGTCAGAGTGCGCACTACAGACATTGAGCCTTTTATATTACTTTAGGTGAGGTGGATGGAATATTTGTCAGTTTCTAGACAAATAGAACATGCTTTCTCATACTTCCATCACTGATCTGGTTCCTTAATCTAGATCGTCATTCCTCTCATCTATACAACTTTTTCTTTCCACCCCACAATACTCATTCAAAGCACTGCCACTCTTGGGAACGCTTCTTGATCTCTCTTCCACTGCACGAACCTGCTTGCTTAGCTAGCACTCCTTCTATACTCTGTTCAATAGCTAGCACACTATTTTTCCTATGCCTGCCAGCCTGTGAGCT